ACACACACACACACACACACACACACACACACACACACACACACACACACACACGTTCGCCAAAACGTCGTTGTCATGGTAATGGCACGCACTGGGCACGTCCGGAAGTGAAGTGCAGAAAACTGATTCGTCAAGCTAATAAGATGAGAAAACTTTACGCTGCATAGAATAGTTTTGTCGGACTAAAAAGCGAGGATTTCATTGAGAAGAAGAAGTGTTTAACAGTAAGAGTTTAACTTCCGGTTTGTCTTCGTGTTTCTAGCAGCAAATTAGACTTTTAGCTTTTAACTTTTTAGCGTAGCTTTTGTTATTTTAGGCGCTAATAGTAGTTTTTTTTAATTAAATAAATAATTTGTTTACTAATTGTAGTTTTAGGTACTGTTTTTGGTTATATATTTTAGCTACTCCGGCTTGTTACTGTTTTTATTATTTTATTTATTTTATTTATTTTTACCAAATTTGCGTTTTAGATACTATTTTGCTGTTTTTAGCTATGTTTAGTTAATTTAAATTTTAAACATTGTTTTGCTTATTTAAGCTTATGTTCTGATCATTTTAGTTTTTAGCTATGTTTAGTTAATTTAAATTTTAAACATTGTTTTGCTTATTTAAGCTTATGTTCTGATCATTTTAGTTTTTAGCTTTTAAACAATTTTTAGAAAGGTAATTCTGCCAACAAAAGYCTTTTTTTCTAGTTCCTACAGATTTCTCAAAGTTAAACACTTACTGACCCTGTGTTTGTTGGACACAAACCTGAGTTAAAAAAAGGAAATTAAAACGCATATAAGAAGTGCCACACTCCTTGCAATAGCCTACTTTTTATTTGTTTCACCACTAAAACAATAACCAACAAATCATGTTTGCTGATTTCCTGTTTCAGTGTATTTTGCATTAGAGAGCAGATCTGAGGAGCAGGAGGAGTCCAGGCCTCCCAGCGCAGACAAACCAGAGTTTGAAGAACAGGAGGAGGATCRTGCACCAGACGCTTTGTTTCTAGAAGGTCAGCTGCTGACAAAGGCTGACGTCTCTTCTTGTCCTGCCTTCCAAATCTTAGAAGAGGTAAAAATATATATATATATATTTAGGATGCTGTTTTAAAGTCTGCAGTGGTAATGGTAAAGGCACTCCGGTTTGGATCTGGGGGTCTTTCTGTGTGGAGTTTGCATGTTCTTGCTTGGGTTTGTCTCCACATAGTCCGGTTTTCTTCCACAGACCAAAAACATGCGTGTTAGGTCTCCCTTGGAAAAGAGATCTATGATCTCAGTGGGTTAAATAAAGATAAATGATGCTTAGTTGCAGTTTATTTCAAGAAATATCCTTCACTTCATTTTCGAATGCTTGGAAATGACATTAAACTGTTTCATGACTTACAAAGTTGAAAATGAGCAGGTTTTTAATGTTTAAGAAAAATTATTACTTGAGGCTAAATCGTTAAGTGAGAACAGCACTGTTTTTTTGTGATTTTATCATCACAAATAGTGAAAAGATGTCAAATCGAAAGTCATTTATTTTCTGAAAGGCTATGTGTTTTTACTTTAGAAGCCTTTTTTTTTTTGCTAATTTTATTGGGCATCACCTAACTCTGTTTTCCATAAACTAAAGTAATTGTAAAATAATTATTCATAAAACTCCATGTTTTTGTTCACGTTATTTCATCTCAAAACATAAGAAGTTTGTACTGCAATGCAAACAGCGGTAAAATTTGAACTTTATTTTTTTATTATAAAAAATATGCAGGTTTATATGGTCATGGCAGATTAACATGACTAAAAAGATCAGTATGGAACACACACACACACACACACACGCACACATCTCCAAATACAAATGTGTAAGACTGGGTTACAATTACACATCATGTCTTTATGCCTGACTGTCAACAATCAATAGACGTTGCACTGCATGTTCTACAGAAACATTATATAAAAGCTCTGATACCTCACAAAGTTAAATAAATACTGTACACATCCTTTAAGTAAAACATTTCCTTTGTCCATCTTTAGCCCATTCAGTGTGTATAAAATGGATTACATGGTGCTGTACAGTTTCCTAACATTAGATGGCAGTATTGTACACATGATGAGTCAAAGTTTTATTTTTATTTTTTTTTACAAACTTGGTGTGTCATGAAGAGGTGTGCTGCATATTCAAAATCCAAGGATGGGAAAACAATTGGAAGTGTTTAATGTTCTGCTGGATGGCTGCTGTCAGGAATAATTTAGCAGAGCGTCAGTAGCACAAACTGTACTGAATAAGCACTCCGGAGAAATCTGTCATGGGTTTTTCTGCGATGTGTAACGTTCAGGATAATGATGCGTTATCCAAATGTCCCGGTGTAATTAAACAAACCGAAAAGCCCAACTCCTGSACACTTTTCTTTAAAGATTTATGAAACCGTTTGACACCCAGAATCATTTCAGACACAAAACTGTATCATCAGCTTACCTCACTTGAGCGCTTGCTGTTAATTATAAAATCATTTGCAGCAGAGAAAAATGATAGCTCATTAGTTTTTACTACTGGTGTGTGCTGCACTGCGTCTCAGCGGGGGCTTACAGCAGGAGGGGAGCGGGACAAAAAAAAAAAAGAGTGGAGAAATGTCAGAGACCAGTGAAAAATTATTCACGGTCAGCTTCCGTGTAATATCATGGCCCCTGTAGGAGGCTGGCCTTTTACGCTGCATGTGTGTTAGTTTGCAAATCAGTCCTTCTCTTCTTTTTTTTTTTTTGTCAGCATCATATTAATCCATCATTTTAAAGGCCACACTCACCACAGTGCAAAATGTAACAAGATATTCCACCATTAGTTTGTTAGTACTGCATTCTATCGGTGGTGCTACAGTCCTTTTTGGTGTCCAACCCAAATTTTGATAAAAACTGAGACTTTGTAAAGAGAAAATGTAAGTCYAAACAGAATGRAAAGATTTGCAAATGTTTCAGTCGCAATCAGACACAGTAAACCAATCAAAAGTTGAGACAACAATCCACCAGCAACTGGTTTCCTCAGTTCCTAAACATTTCTAAAAAGTTATTGGGGGAAAAAAGGGGTCTTGTTCTCATTTTTTAATATGTTGCTGCAATAAAATTCTATTACCCACCAAAAAAAAGTATAATTTCCTAATTTTGACACTTGATTTGTTTTCTCTGTTTCATATAGATTTATGAGATTTACAAATCATTGCATCCTTCGTTTTATTTTATTTTGCACCTTTTTTCAGAATTAGAGTTGTTCAGGGAAATGTGTGCGAATGAATGAATATAGGGAAATGTATGACTTTTTTTTTCTTCCATTCTATTCCCCAAAACATCCTTCTTAAGGGGCGTAGTTTTTGGGCCGTATCATCATCTTGACCGTTTTGAAGGCCTGCCTGTAGTTGGTGGGGTAATACTCCGTCGACATGTTGTGCCACGTCCCCCAGAAGATCCCATTCCTGACGCCCTTGTACCTCTTGTGGTAGTACTTCCCGTTGAGGTTGACGGACATGCAGGCGTCGAACCACCAGCCGGAGCTGTAGTAGGCGCCGCAGTTTCCGGAGGGGTACATGTCGTTGTCGCGGTCGGGRGTGGAGAAGAATTTCTGGTCGTGGTTGAAGTGCTTGTTGAAACTCATGGCGTTTCCAGCCGTCCCACTGCAAAGACACGACAAATAATCAGACGATGCCATCGACTTTAACGTGTGTTTGCAGCAAACTGAAACTGCACCTGTATCCGCTGATCGATAGCCGGTAGCGCAGGTACTCGTTAGCCACGTAGAACTGGTCGTACTTTGCATATTCCCGAACACCCTCAAAATCCTCCAGCTCTATTCGCAGAACCATGTCTTTGGCTTTTGTCAGCAAGTGAACATAGTCATTGCCCAGCCAAAACTCCCCTCTGCAAGACAGAGAAGAGCAGAAACTAAGAATAGGGCATACAATATAAATAAGCTCATATACCAGCACAGTTGGTTAGAAAACAGATACATTTATTCAAACAAAATGAACTTATTCCCACACCTGGGAGGCTGTAGAGGAGATGCAAGCGAAGTGTGACAGTGAAAAATGGATGAGAGGGGTTATTATTTTTTTAGTGGGAAGCAATGCGAGAGCTGCAGGCGTGCTTATCAAAAAGTTACCATGGTTTTTCTCACAAGAGAGCAAACACACACACACAACCTCGAAAAGAACAGAAGTGAAGATATCGATCAGTGTACCCTTCACTGATTATTCTCTCTAAACTTGAACAGTCTCCCTTCTTAAATAATAGATTAAAGTGTAAAAGTTTGCAACCTGTGAAAAGGAATCCAATCTGCTGTGGTCAGAGTATTTACTTAGTTTTATGTGCAATAATCAGTCAGGGTTAGTGAAAACAGGTGGTGAACAATCTGTGAAAGTGAGAACAGGTGTGCGTCGTTATTGTTACGGCCCCTAAAAGCAGACTGGGCATTTTCAAGTCGTGCTTTGAGGGATTAAATTGTTCAGCAGCGTTTATTACTATGAAAGCTGATCCTCTAATGGAACTTTAATGGTAATGTATGAATAAAATATACTTGAATGAATCCTTCTTTTTGTTTTATAAAAATCTAGCTCGCCACTTGTTTTTTGGAACAAGTAGTTGTCGAGTTCGCTGTGCTTATAAAGATTTATAAAGCTGACCACAGTGTTAAAAGCTGCTTTTACGATGGTTGTTGAGTCTGGCTGTGATGATGCACACACGCTGGTGTTGATGTAGTTTGCCATTTAAAAGCACATTTTGAATTCAGCGTCGTAAACTTCGCAAACCAAACTCAACTCCTCATGCAGCACTTTTGCTAAATCATCTTATGCTAAGAAGTAGGGTTGGGCGATAAATCGATTTAATCGATTAATTCAAATTTGCCATTTATAAAGACTTAATTTAGGTAAAATCGAGACTTTTTTTTCCCACTAGTGCACTCTTTGGGGCTTCTGTAGTTCAGAGGTCACTCCTGCTGAATTTATCAGCTGCTGCTCTGCTGCACGCTCATCTTCATCATCAGAGCAGAAGCCATCTTTACGTTAACAAGATGGATTTCTAACTGAACGAACGTCCACGTCTTTTTTTTTATAATCTCTGTGGGTAGCAATACCTAAAAAAC